TTGATACTAAGTGGTGATATGAATGACAGATGTATTTAAAGGACTGATTGAAACTGGTGGCCATGACTTCATTTATGTGAACACGTACTGTTCCTCCTGCAATCTGCACCTTTTGTATGCAGAGGGTTCCCACCAAAAATCTTGGGAGATACTGTGTTAACTTGTGCTAAGTAGATAATGTGTTTGTCTCTACTGATGGGTTGTTTCCCTTCTGTAGTTCAGATATTCAAGTATGCATATTATTATGCATACTATTAGTATCATCATACTGCTTAATACCTTGTTAAACTAGCTGCATTGTGCTCTGCAACTCTGACAGATCTGCATATATATCACTTCTCTCTACCTTCCCTGCTTCTGATATTAAGAGAAAGGGAAAAAAACTTGTAAATCCTGAAACAAAGCAGACTTCCCAGAAGAACATAGATAGGTGGGTTTTCTGAAAGGTGGGATGTTTTGCAGCATCAATGAGCAGGGAGGTGTTGTTTCCTAGGTTGACAGTAAAAGGCTGAGGACAGAACTGTGCAAGAGTACACAAAGCCTTCTAACATACCTGAAGCAGCCAAAGCATTACTTTGCTGGGGCTTTCTTTTAAAGGGGTAGAGTGGCCAGCTCAGCTGCACTGTTGCCCGTAACTTTCTTACTAAAATGAGCCATCAATGTGTGGCAGCGACTTCCAAAACTGCTGCATACTTTCTTATGAAGAGGGCTACCAGACACATTAGAGAACCACTTTGCTCCTACTTCTCCTACTTTTGAATCATTTTATTTTTGTAATAAATTATTAACGTTTGAAAGCAAGGTTTTGTGCTCTCTTGAAATCAAAGTTAAAGCAGATAAACAAGAAATTGATATAATAAATAAGATTTATACACTGTGTTTATTTTTACTGTACTAACAAATATTACCATGGATATTGTTTGTGCCCTGGTCCAGAGTTTCTCCTGCTTTTTCTTGTTCTGATAATCTGGAAATAATTTGAAATTAATAGATAGTCTTATTGCTGATCTTTCCAGAAGTAAAATTTGCGCCCAGTTCTGCTTTCTATCAGTAGCTGAGAAAAGCTAATAGAAAAATGTATATGTGTTATAGACTAAACAGAAGTAGTATCTTCAAAGTGTCAGATGCTCTCCATCCAAGAAAATACACTGAGTGAATCACATGTATGAACAAAAGCACACAATGCCATTTTGTGGATGTGTCATCCAGCTTCCACCTGCTACTTCAAAAGTGTGGCTCTTCTGCAAATCCTACATCATACCTGAGGGCCCCATAGAGATGCCTTAGTGTCTCAGTAGCACTGCATGCCTGTGTTTGGGCATGTGGATGTGTCCTTAACTTATTTATTTAATAAAATGCTGTAAGAATTTTGCATAGCAGTAAGTGAACTAATCTGTTCTTTTCTTCATTGCAGTTGATGCTAACACATGGGCACAAGTTATTGCCTTGTACCCGACTTTAGTAGAATGTATCACGTGCTCCTCATCAGAAGTGTGTTCTGCTCTGAAAGAGGCATTAGTTCCCTTTAAGGACTTCATGCATCCACCAGCATCCAAGGTACAGAATGGAGAGTCTTGACCCCATAAAACTTTTTTTTTTAGTTTTTGAAGGAAAAAAAGTATCCAAAAATGTTTGTTCCCAGGTGAAGTTTCACTGAGAAAATCTCTTGTGGCTAGTACTTGGCAAGCAATGCTGACTGCCTTTAACTGTACTAACAAGAGCTCAGTAATTCATGAACACAAGCTATATCTCAAAGGTCCAGAGTGAGTAGCAGTGCAAACCTTTAATAATTTTAACTAAGTAGTTGGAATCATTTATAATCTAATGTACTTGCTACAGTATCTTGAAGTGGTGATTGAAAAGTGGGCTTATGTACAGCTTGTTGTGTATGTGTTAATGATGTAATTAAAAATATTTCAATTCAGTCAGATTTATTAGGCTGGTGTTTTGCACCCTTTTTTTGAAGTACGAATTGTACTAAAATTTTATGCAAGATGGTACTGTAACATTCCATATATCTGTAACCAGCCTTTGTAAACAAAGGGAACTGAAATACTTGTGTGTATAATAAATGGTACAGTTCTGTATAAAATAGTTGCATTTATTATTTAAATTCTTTTTTAAATATTGATAATGTTAAATGCTTGGAAAAGTATTTATTATAAGCTGTATGCTTGCATTTTTACTTATACTTTGCCTTCTAAATTGCCAGATATGCTTGTTCATATCTGATCATGTTACTAGTTTTTTTTGCTTAATTGAATGTATCTTTTCTGTGGCCATTGGACATCTAAATGAAGAGGTCATATGACAAGATTGCAGCAAGCAGGCAGTAGGCTGCTGATCTCAAACATCAGTGTCATTGACCTGGAATAGGTTTGAATATGCAGAAATCCACTGTAGCACTTCAACACTGCCATACCTCACTTCATAATATATTTCTTTCAAAATGTTTGTTATACTCAACTCTGTTCATTTTTGTAGTTTGCAGCCTTGCTTTAAAAAATACATACATAAGGGTCATTAGTCTTTTTTGACCTTATTGCAGGTATTGTAGTCTTTGAATCATGACCCAAGAAAGGGGATTGCAAATATCTGAAATACTTGGCTGTAATACTTTGTTCAGTAATTTTAAGTGCTTTGTTTTGTAATGTCTTTTAAATCCAAATTGTTCTAACCTTTTAATTATAAACTCTCTGATATAAAACCATGAGAAGTGTATTTTTGAAGATAGCTACTGGTTTAGAAGTTCAGTAAAATTTTCATTAAGTAAATGTGAATTTTCTTTCAATTTCACGTAATATACAAGTGAAGCAAAACACTTCTGGTATTGTTTATAAAATTTGTGACAGCATTTAAACTCTTGTTGAGATAACGATTCATTAAATGTGTCGCCTGTGTTCATGTATTTTAGCCTGTGATGTGAAAGCACAGAGGTCAAATGTTTAAAAAAAAAAGTAGGAAAAAAAAAAAGGTGCCTTTCAATGTATTTCAGAGCTTTCCTTTAGGCCTTCAAGTCTTTGTAGATACTAAAAGTGATTGCCGTGGTGTTAGATCTGTTTGCTTTACACTTCACTGACTGAAAGGATGCTAATTGGCACTTGTGAAGCAAAAACTGTAGGAGCTTCAAGTCGAGTTGCAAGGAACTGATCAGGGTTAGAAGGACCCTCTGTGAATAATGTTTTCAAACACACCTTTGAACAGTTTGTTCCTATAAAATTCCAGTTTTGTGATCCTTTCAAAAAGGATAATCAGAGAGGGAGGCTTCAGGATCTTGCACATATCTCTTTGACCAAAGTTGTGTGGAACTCAATCTTCAAATGTGAATAGTTTTTGAAGAACATGTTGTACATTAAGGAAACAAAGCCCCTTCTTTCTAGTAATAGAGTTGTTTTTTGGTTTTTTTTTGTCAAAATAGCCTTTTTGGAGAAGCAGACCTGGGTCCCAGGTACAAATAACAAGATTATCCGTACTCTGAAAGTGAAACCCTTGCAAATGCTCTACTACTTAGTGAAAGATAAGACAAGGCCTATTAAGTTCTCAAATAAAGCAAGAGGTTGAGCAGAGAAAAGGTATTCATTTGATTTAAAATCTGCTAACTTAACAAGAAATTCTGGAAAGAGGAATGCAGACCAAACTGTGGATGAGTTTGTTTATCATTAATTTCTGTCTGCTTTTTCAGTGGTAACACAGATTCATCCTAATTAAGCAAATCTTCAGCTTTATTTTAAATAGGGTGTGGGGGTGTGTGAGTCTTACCTGACTTTATCATCCACAGATATTAATCTTCTAAAGGCTTTGAAATAAATTACCACTAAGGTTGCTTTCCTTCCTTTCCTCTTCATTATCAAATAATGATATCTGTGCTATTTGAGAACATTTTGGACATGCAAGCCGAGGCTGACCATACTCAAAACACTTTTTGTATAAATAGAGAACTGAAAACAGAAGTACTTAGTTTAGGGAAGACTTCTTTTAACCGACCGATTTTTTTCAGTGAATAAGACTTTTTCTGTTTTCTGTGCCTTGTTCAGCACTCAAATATTTCCTCCAACTTGAAGTATCAATTTGTTTTTTTTATTATTTTTACATTTTGCTAAATATTCTTAGGGTTTCTTTCATGTAAACAGTATCCTTGAGTATTTAAATTTCATATTCTTGAATCTTTTTTCGAGCAAGACAAGTTTTGTTCCTGAAAAAATGTAACATTACCTATTGAGTAAACCGTTGTCCAAGTTGCACTTTTCAAGTCTATAGGGTTGCTTAGGCATGTGAAATAAAATAAATGGACGTTTTCAGGATTGAGGTCTGCATTGTGTCAGTGAAATCAGCTAGAAAAGGTTGTTCAGCTGAGTGTATAGAAATATGTCAACTGAAAGTTAGAAGAGAAACATTAACTGCCAAATGTAACCACATTATTCACTTTTTTTTCTTCTTCTCCCTAACCTTAAAAAGAAATTTGGATTGGGAATCCAGAGAGAAAATGTGAGGGTCTTCCACATTATTACAAGGCTCATATCAAGACTGTTGATAATACTTGTATGTCTCAATGCCATAAACACTGCCCCAGTGTACGCAAGGATTTAACATCATATTGTAGCTCTAAGGAGGAGGAACAGATGGCTAAAGCAGGAAATTTCTTACAAGAAAGGTTATTCTTAGAAGCATCTTTGTGGACCTTTGTTAGACTCACTCTAGTATGTCCATGACTCTTGTGAAAGTTTTGGGAGCAAGGACACCTGTTTGTCTACATGGTATTTTGCTTATCAGGGCAAGTGCAACTCCAACAAAAATGACTGTAGGAGTTCGTGTAAAACATAGATTTCATCTGGGGAGTAAATAATCTTCAAGTTTCACAAGTATGTTTCAGTTTAAAAAAAAGTGTGTTTTGCTATATTAATACAAGCATATTGCAGTGATGTAATTGCCTTTGTGTATGCTGGAATGTAGATCAGACGAGGCTCCTCATTCTTTGTAAATAAATACAATAGAACTTAACATTTATTTGTTTGTTTCAGCCTTCAGGTTTTATTCAGTGGAAACATAGATAATGATGTAGGCAGGATGTACAAAAAACTCTCTTAGATTTTGAATTAAACAGAATTCTTTCACGATAAAAAAAAGCAAAATTGCATGAAAAGCGGTATTACAAGTATGCTAGAAAACAGGATTATACTGAACATCACAACTGGTAAAATTCTCTCCCAAACAACAAGATGCAATTCATCAAGATAAATGTGAGATTCTCCACTCAAGCAGCAGTGAGTTTTCTCCATTTTATTTTGCCACCTTTATTGAATAGGAAACTGATGGTTTCCCATGTTTTGATGGTTTTCCTTAGGAAATTATTCCAATTTAAAAATGGCTGTCATTAGCACTATCAAAACTAGTTCTGAAAACATGTTTTACAGCAGTGGAATCTCATTTGTCAATACCATAATCCTCTCATCACCTGAAGCACGTTCTTAATAGAAAGGATGTATTAAATACAGCTACCATCTTTTTTTCTTTATCAAAAATACTGCAAAGTTGAAGCATACTCAAAGGCCCCAACTTATGGCTGTTTAATACTGTTAAGAAGGCATATTGGTTTGGTTTTTGTTTTGTTTTAGTTTTTCAGGAAGGGTTGCCCAGAGATAAGAAAGAAGGAAAGTCCCTTCTAAGTCAGATGCCTGTTTAGCATGTTCAGAGTTTTATTTTTGAAGACCCTGGTCTTTAAGCTGCAATTATAATTATTGCTCTCTGTGTACAGAATACCTGTCTTAGGCTTGGAATGAGCTAAGCGACTTGGCCATGACCAGTGATATTTCCAAAGCTGACATCTTCAAGATTGCTGAAGCTGGTGAGGATGACAGACTGTTGGGAAACCTGGCATTGCCTTCTCTGTTGTTTTCAATGTTAGCTGTTTCTTGGAACTGTTAAAGTTGTCAAGGAATTACTTAAGTTTCTGGCTTCCTTGCCGGAGGACTTTCCCTTCTTTCCCCCATCACAGCGGGTCATATCAGGAAAGGGACTGAGACCCCACAAAAAATAGCACTCAAAACTGGATTGCCACCAATAGAAGACCTTTACAATGCACAGACAAAAGTCTGTTTCTGATCATCTTTCACAAGGAGGCATGGAAAGGGACAGGAGTATTATGCACGTAGTACTACTCGTATGTACATGTACAAAGAACCAGCTTCTGGAGTACATCAGAAGTATTACTTGCAGATATGCTTACTGAACATCTGTTCATGCCTCCGGGTTTGGCGTTGTAGCATGATATGGCACTGCCTTACCTCTAAAATGATCCCTCGACTCTGTGCACAGCACTGCACTGGAACAAATGAGGAAAGACGTTTACATTTCTTTTAGAGAAGTCTTATTTAAATATTTTCTCATAAAATATGAAATCAATAACCTGTGTCAAAGCCAAATGCACTATAATGTCTTAAATTTTTAAGCAGTTATGTGTTGCCAAAGCCTTAAAGAGAATGCAGTGAACTGATGAAGTAGTACGCAGCCCTGCCTTGTGAGACTGACAAGCAAGTTTTTGAAGAGTTAAAGCATGGTCTGATTGCAACTCAGTTGTACTTTATCCAGCTGAAGTCAATCAGTTCAAAGTTGGAGACAGATTAGGAGCTGAAAAAGAAGAAAGCTTGCTTTTTCCTCTTCCATGCATAGGACTGATCTGTGAGAGTAAAATGCTTTTTGTCTAAAAGCTGAAGGCAGTAGTAGCTACAGTTCTGTCTTCCTTTTAACACTGTGTATTTCCTGAATGCATCTGGCACACCTGAAACAGATCGACATAAGAAAGAATTAATTTGAATGCCTTTCTCCTTTGCAAATTCTACTTTGCATCCAAATAGAGCCCTGTGCTAACTAACGGGATGTTAAATTGTTGGGGAAAATGTACTTAGAACATTTTCTGGAAAAAAAAAAAAATTGGATTTAAAAAATAAGATACTGAATTACTAATTATGTAAAATGCATTTCCTAATTGGAAAAGATGGCAATCTTAGCACAAAGGCTATTGTTTAATTGCAAGCAAACATTTAAATAATTGCTAACAAAGTAGCAATCTTTTTGGAAAGATAAATACAAGTGCAAAATAAGGCAAAAAATATAGCTCCATGCTTACTTTCATCATTATTAAAAATAAGCCACTTTTCTGTTTTGTTTTTTAAATAAACACTTTTAGATTTTCCCATTTGTGTTTCTTTTTCAGAACTCTTTTTTTTTCACCTGTACACAAACAGCAGAGTAGAACCCGCACTTGCTGTACCCATTCCTTTGTAGTATTTAGCTTCCTTTGCACTGACCTCGAATAGCAGAATTACTGTAAGTCTTACTGACCCTGCGTGAAATATCATCACGTGCCTTTCTGTAGGAATCAGGACTTGTAGAACGTTCAACTTTGCACTGGTTCCAGTGTCTTTTAAACAAGCAATCGATGTAGTATCAACCCTGTTGCCAACATAGGTGCAAACTTTAAAGCAGGCAACTACAGACAGGATCGTTATCAAGTATTTCCATCTTTGGATCTCGGGTGCAGTGTTTTGGCTGCTTTCCAGCATGACTTTGTCAACAGATTTCTTACAAGTTGACTCTGAAGCCATGGGTTTGATGCTAGGACCAAGGTGCGTGTGTAGCTTTGTGCTGACAAACCCAAGACTATTCTATTTCTTTTGCGTTTAGCTGCAAGCGGGGTTATTTCTGCACCCTGCATTACTGCATAGCTCCTTATCTGTGTATTTGACTCCTGCCCGCAATTCCTCTCGTGCATCGGTAGCGATTTTTGGCAGTTTGTTCCCCAGATGCGTTGAGGGACAAAATGAACTCGCTTAAAACATCAGCGCTCCTAACTCTGTGCGCTCTCGCAACGACGTTCAGTCAGTTTCTAGTACGGAGCAATCGCGCTGGGGTCAATTCCCATTTAAAAACACAAACCAGGTTCAGATCTGACTCCACAAACAAAGCGTTCGAGCGCACAGTCCCTCCGCGCTGCGCTGCCCTCCGGCACTCCCTCCCCGCCGCCCTCAGCGCCCCTCTGCCCACCGCGCTGTGGAACAGCCGGGCGAGGTCCCGCCGCACCGAGCTCCCCCAGGCGGCGGTCCCAGCAAGCAGCCCTAGCGGACGGACGGCTCTTCCCGCGTCTTTCAAGAAGCCCCGGATCGAGAGCGGGAGCGCCCCGCTCCCAGCATCCGCCGGACGAACGTTAACTCCCCCCCCAGCCGCGCAGTCCGGCGGGAGTCGAGGGGAGTGGCACAGCACTCCCCTGCGAGCACCGGCCTTCCGCCCGCCCGCGCCATCTTGAACGCGAGCCGGGGGCAGCGGCCTCCCCTCCCTCCCCAAGATGGCGCCGGCCGGGTGAGTGACATGTCCAGTCACGTGGGCAGCGGATGAGCCCCTCTCTCCCCCCCGCCTTAAACGATCTCTATGGTTCGGCCGGACACACGGGCGGTGGCGGGCGGCGGCGAGGGACGGAGCCGCGGCGGGAGCGGGGCCGCCCGGCACCCCTTTGTCTGCGGCCTCGGCAAGGCGAGCGCTTTTCCTTCCCCGATCGCGAGGGCCGCGCCCCAGTGCCCTCGAGGGTTCGCCTTCCTCCTTCCCGCCGGCACCGCGGCCCGGGAGAGGCGGCGGGCGCTCCCCGCTGAGAGCGCCGGCGCGGAGCTCTGTCCCGGCCTTGCGGGCGGCGGCGCGGCCGAGCTGCGGGAGCGGGGCCGGGCGGCGCCTCCGCCCCGCGCTCCCCGGGGGGCGGCGGGGGTCGGCGCCGGGCCGGGGCCGCGGCTGTGCGCGGGGAGGGTCGGGCGGGCTGAGGGCGATTTTCTGTCGTGCCCGCTGCCCCCCGCTTCTTCCTTCCCTTCCTCCCTCTCTCCCTCCCTTCCCCATCTGTTACAGGCGTGCGGAGCGGTGGCTGTTTGAAATTAAACGTGCCCTTTGCTGCACCAGCTGGGGTCTGTGATGTATCTGATAAATGGAGCTCTGCCCGTCGGCTTCAGGTCATGCGAGGAAAAGGGCAGCGCTGGGGAGGGAGCTGGGCGGGGTTTCCCTCCGCTTTTCTGTCAGACGAGAGGAGTCTGGTTGATGTCTGCAGCAGATAAAGGAGACGAGGATCATCAAAAGACCCCAGAGCCCTTTTATCTTCCTGCTGTTTCTCCCTATAACTTCGTTTATCGGTGACGCGGCGTCTGCCTGCTCGTTCCCCCCAGCAGGGGCCGGGTGCACCAGGCCTGGCTGAGGTAGTAGTTTGTGCTGTTGGTCGGGTTGTGACATTGCCCGCTGTGGAGATAACTGCGCAAGCTACTGCCTTGCTAGTGCTGGTGATGATCAGCTGCAGACGAAGACAATGACAATGGGAATCCCCTTTGTTTTCCCGGGATTGGATGCTGCTGAGGTGGCAGCGGTTCTTTTCCTCCTCTCCTCTTCTCCTGCCCAGCCGTGGCTGCTGGGACCCTGTCAGTGGGATGCTGCTGCTTTTGCAGCCCGGGTGAGAAACCATTAGTTTCACGCTGCTTGGAGGGCACTTTAATTTAATCTGAAGAGCAAATGTCTGCATTTTTTCCAGAGCTTACACCTTATTATTCACATGGCACTGCTGGAAGGTGGATTTTCTATTTCGTGAAGACCGAGTGATGACTAACTTGTATTTTCTGTGTTCTGAGTATGCAAAACTTGTATGTGTGATCTTAAATGCTCTGATTTGAATAGTAAAGGATCTGAATAGCTAACAGAAATGTGAAGTATGTGATTTGTCGCTTTCCTTACAGTGAGAAGATTGTTTCACAGTGTAGTTGACTATCATTGTACAGCTTGGTGCCAGCAGTTTTTTAAGTGAACTTCTGAGATTTTTATTTCTGTATTGTGATTTATTTTTTGTGGAAAAGAAACCGTGAATCTTCTCTTGTGAATTAATTAAAATTGCTGGTATGTTCATAGTGTTGGCTGAGGATATCATTTTGATTGAAATTCAGTGTGTTGACCGCTTATTACCATGGCTTAAACTTGAAATACAAATTAAAATTAAAGCATTTAAATAAATGTGCATAACTGTCTCTTATGTTTTTAAAAATGAGAGTTAATTTTTCAGCCCTTGTGAGATCTGGCTGCAAGCAGGTTATGATTAATCCTTTCAGTTCACAGTGAAAGTTAAAGCTATAGCTGAGCACTTCAAAGTTGATGTATTAGCACTGGTTCCAGTTCACAGTCCTCACATATTATTATTGGTAAGAGTTGGGTAAACTTTGTGATATTTGTTTCTTTGCCTCATTTTTTAAATGTTTGCACTCCTGCATTTAGAACACACATAAAGGTTGCTCTTTCACCTCAGCTGAATGTAAAGTGCCCTGCAGAATATAAGGAATGTTCTCGCTGGCAAGTTTAATTTAGTAATACTTCATTTGTATACTGAGCAGTGCATTATATGCTAATTCAAGCTCTTCCATAACATAAAGCTAAAACATTTTCATGCTCATAATAGCATGTTAAGTGTTCTCTTTGAGACAAAATAGCTATCAAATTTTAAATGTACTCTGGATTGGGTTTTTTTGTTTGTTTTTCCCACTTTAACTGAAAATGGCATGGGGATACAATAGATGCCTGCTTTTCGCATCCCAGGAAACAGCAGCTAGCAAATAAACCCCTTCGAGGATTACTCTGGAAGTTATGGTAATATTTTCACCATCTACCTTTAGGCATCTCTTTTAGCTGGGTAACCTACCAAGTTTGTCTTTGAGTGGAGGTGGCAGAAAGAGATCCTTGATGTAAATCACAGTTTCAAGCACCCTAACAAACATAATTTGATCTGAACGGTCCTTTCAGAGGAGTTTGCCTCTGCAGGTTGATTGCAAGGGAGGTGAAGGAGCTTCAGCTAAGCTAAGTGCCTGTAGGTGGGTGGTGTGAAATTGTCCTCTATCTTGCTTGCTTTTCCTGTGCTCAGGGAACTTGAGTAAAACTAGGATTTGGCTCCCTTTGTGTGTGTGATTTTTCTTTTTCTTTTTTTCCTGGGCTGAGCAAATCAATGAGAAAAGATGTTCCAGTACGCTACCATTAAGTACTTATTTACCTCCTGTGTAAAATCTCTCGTAAACTTCATTTGCTGCCGAAGTAATCAATTCTTTGTGCAGTGGATTGTAACTTCAGTGTTCAGGAGGGTGTCAAGAACCCGTGCTAAAATAAGACAGAGCTGCTAAACTAATGCAGGTTGGGGTGGGAGATTGCTGCTGAGCGGTTGTGCAGTGGTTTGTCCTCATGTCCATGTAGGAATTAATCATGTGTTGCTTGGTAGGTTTTAGGTACATAACAATGATTTCCTCAGGGAGGTGTGTTCAAGATGCATGGTTCTGCAATAGGGATAGCCAGACCTTTCTTAGTGCAGAGCACCCTTGCATATAGAAATCAGAGACCAGATGAGTCTATGCTTAGCTTTGTCATAGTACTTATTGCTTAACTGTCCAACTTGCACAGCTTATTTACGTGAATAATGCTGTGACGTGATGCTTCAAGGCAAAAAAGATTAATTCTTAGTGCAGTGGAGAGCCTCATCTTAGTGATGTTGCAAAATCGAAGCTGGTGTTACTGAAAACACTGTGTAGACCTAAAATGGAAAGAGTAGCTGCTATCTTCCAAATCCAGTGATCCCTTATTGTGATTTGATGAATGAGTTCGGAAAGAAAAATTGCATCATGCCAATTAAAAAGCTGTACTGCTGGCATGTTATTGTCTATGGTATTGTTTCTTGCTGATTTTTTTTTCCCCTTTTATTCTTCAGAAGTTTCACTCAGGCAAACTTCTTGTGTGAATTTGTTATAGAAATTAAAATAGGCACATGGCTGAGTTGATGGAATTTCTGTGTAAAGTTATTTAGTTTATAGTATCTCTATTGTGTATTGTTTGCTGTGCTGGATGAGAAAGTACTGCAAGAAATGTCCTTCTGTAGCTTTTCTGAGCACTTCTTTTGACTCATGGAATAATAAAAACGTATTGAGATTCACAGCATAGACGATTAAGCTTTAGATGCTCTTATTCCCTGGTTTGATGTCTTTTTGTGCTATTGTCTTACCTATTTTGTGAAGAACAGTCACCAGCTGCTCACCCCTCCAGCTACTGTCTGTCAATGCTGCTTCTAAAGATACTGGCAGACATCAACCTAAAATCTTAGATTCCAGATAGTTGCTTCCCTGCAGGGTGCAGTTGCCCTATCTGTCACCAAGGAGAGTGCCGTGTTCCCATGCAAAACTGGTATTGGAGCACTTGCCTCCACCGTGGCTGCCCCTGTTCTGCTGTAAGGGATCCTGGGCAGCGCACATAATGGGCAAGACCTGCTTACACCAGGGAGCAGCTCACGACAGTAAGGGGAAATGCCAGTTTCTAGGGAGTTACATCTTTAAGCACTTCAAGTATATAAGCACATAAGCATTTGAAAGATATGAGTGCATTTGATAAATTTTGTGTGTTGCTTTTCACAGGGTGCTTTCGTTTCTCTGCTAGAATGAGCATTAAATTAACAAAAGTAAATTTTTGCACTAGCGATTCTTAATGAAAATGAATCACGTCCTTTGCAAGGGGTGAGGACTTTGAGTATGTCTTATGCCTTGTCCCAGAAAGGAATTAGTATGAAATTGCTGGCATTGAATGAGACGAGGTAATACCTCACTATGTCAAGGCTTGTTGTGGGAAGAAGGGTAGTGCCCTGCTTTTGGTTCCTTTTTGAGTTACCACTTCAGGAGGAACTGTTGGAGTGACCCACTGTTACCCATGGCACATGTTCCCAGAAGGTTGTGCTTGATGCAAAGACCTCTGATCTCACAGGCAAGCAATATCTTGGTATGCCGCCTGCAAAGAAGAAACAGGTAAGTGTAGAATCAAAGGAAAAAGTATGGTCACGGGTTTCCAAATGGTTTGAAGTCTACTTTTTAATCTGGTTTCTGGTTTATCTGGTAGAATTCAGTATGCTCTGTGGTTTTCTTTTTGTTTTTAGTTTGCTTAAAGCAGCTGCTGATCCAAAGCTTAGTTTACAGTTTGAAGAACATCTTGCTCCCTCTGAAAGTTTCTACACCATGCTTTTGTAAAGGAGAAGCTGGTCCAAAAAATGGAGTTGGTAGCTGAGCACGGAGATCATGGCTTCACATAAAATATATTTTCAGTTTGTTCATTTTATCTGTGCTTTGATGTATTACAGTATGTGTAAGAACATGAAGAAAAAATCTTTTGGAAAATTAAAATGCATTACATTACGTTTTAATTGTATAAATATTTGTGATAGCTGAATAAATTTCACTATTTGAAGTAAGAAGTGGTGTCCTTAGTTCAGTGAAAATTGCATTGCTCCTGCCCATAAAATGATACTCTAGATGAGCTCTGTTTCTGTGGAGAACCACAGAATGCACCAGTCACCAACGTATGCAACTGCGACAGGCAGGCTCACAAGTTCCTCTCCCGTGCTATGGTAAGTGTGGCTGTATGCCTAGCAAAAAATACCAAGGAACCAAAAATAAACTAAGACATCTCTTTGAGAGCCTCTGTCATGGGACTTCTAGAAAATTCTGAGGGCCTCATTACTAAATTGATGGCCTGCTTAATGGGAACGAATAGGTAAGAAAGCCACCACCTGGCTCCATTTTCCGTTCACTCAGTGTAATGAGATGAATCCTGTTGCTTGGACTTCTTGAAAAACATTTAGCTATGTTGTAGCTGAACTGCAAATATCCCTTGAAGAGGATGACACGAAGGAGGGAGATTTCTTACAATCTGCATTTTATTTTTTTGTTCTGTCTCTTACTGAATTGAAAGCATATTTTAGAAGCTGAGGGAGATACAGGGCCAAAGTACAGTCATCTTTGAAATGCTGTGATAGATGCATGAGCTGAGCAATGCAGTCTGACTCTTCTTCATGGAGCTGAAGCCCTGGGCTTCTTCCAGATTATCAGGTCACCTCTGTACTGCAAGTCAGCAGCTGTGCTTTACACTGTGAAAGCTATTCCTAAATTTCTCGCCAATGCAGGCTCTTACAGGGAAGGGACTGTTCATCTATTGCATACCTAAGGACTGTACAGGCATGCATAATTTATATGAGGGTCTTATATAAGCCTCGGACCTTAAGCATGTCTTGCAAAGTCAAACCACTGCTGTATAGCACCATGTTCTCACTGCTTCCATTTAGCAATGACAACTTCAAGGCCATCGATGTTACGTGTGATGGAACAAGGTTTTCTACAGTGGTTGAAGTTTGGTACTTGCCTACCTGCTTTATGTTGTATGAGGCTGGTGTTGGCATATACAATGGGCTGTAATGAAAATGTGACACTCGTGCTTCGTGCAGTCTTCTTTCCCTGCTTATAACCGTATGCATTGCCAGTATATGCATATTTACAACCCATACCTGTTTCGTGCTGCTGTGTCGTGTAACCCTATCTAATTTACACAGTACTTTGTCAGGTGCTGAGATTCTGCAGCCTAGCAGTCTGGTGTGGCAGTGAAACACAGCCCTTTGAGCTGGGCCCATTGTCGGTGCCATCAGTATCAGTGTGGCCTTTCATGCTGCAAAACTTAAATATGGACACAAGAAATGCTTCTGTCAAAAATGGTCACAGTAGGTTACTTCCTTATAAAGTCAGGTGTGTTTGTCTAGAATGCCTAGAGATAAGGCTGGAACAGAATGTATGCTTGTACAGTTGGAGAGCTAGCAGTGCTATGTACATTAAATGTTATTGGTGTGCTAGTCTGCCAACTACAGTGCTAACATTTTCTAGGTCACTTGTATTTGTTCCCTCTCATGACTTTTCCACAACTCCCCAGCCTCATGAA